CCTTTGATAGAGGAAGTGGTGTCAATGTCTAGTATAAATTAATAATAATAATAACAATGATTATTATTATTCTGTTAAAAATACATTTGTTTCTATCAAAGGAATACAGTATAACCTCCTCCTATTGTGGACACTCTAAAATAAGGACACCTCTATAATGAGGAGGGGTAGTATCAGTCCCAATACAATAGTAATGTATATTAATGAACCTCTGAAATAAGGACAGGTTCATAATCAGGAGCTAGGGTATTATTGGGTCCCAAGGTGTCCGGAATAGACAGGATTGACCGTACATTAATACATTAGTTGATATTACCTGTACAGTGATTCCTTTGTGATGATACTCATCGTGTAGGGTTCGTCCTAACATTGTCACAAAACTCTATCAATAAACATTAATAACCATTAATAACTAGCAACCACACCCACCATTGAAGCAGCTTCAGCAGCTAATAGAGGAGTAGGGGGAGCATCACCTAAAGCTGAGGACACATTGATAATAGCACCTCTACCTCTCTCCAGCATTGTGGGTAATATCATATGAGTCATCTAATAAACAACAACAATAAACAACAACAATAATAAACAACAATTAACAATAAACATCAACAATAAAAATAATAAAAATACATACAGGCTAGCCTCTATATAATGGAAACTTATGTACAAGAAAGTGTCTCTGTTATACAGAGGTGTCCTTTATGGTGAGGTTATTTTATACAGTAAGGAATGTAACTGGTACACTAGGTGCTGTCTGTAAAATGGAGGTGTACGCTATAGAGAGTGTCCATTAAGAGAGGCTATACTGTACATGTACATGTATTTAACGTTACCATTGTTGTTGATGCTATGTTGACATTTACCAGCTGCCACAACCGCTAAAAATGATAATAATATTAATTTATTTATTCATTAATTATTTTTTTTCTTACATTATTTGGTACTTGTGAGAAATACTGGGATGATCAAATTTTATTGGATTGACATTAACTGAATAAGAATAAGGACATCAAAATGTATCAGAAAACGTAATAAAAATTTGGGGTAATTTTGGAGCCATTTTAAATTTAATCTTTTATTATTATTATTATTATTATTCTTTATCATTTCCTTTTTCTGTGTCACTAACTTAACCTACCTACTTTTAACCTTGCTTAACCTACATGTTTTATTTCTGTTTTTTATTTATAATAAATTTTTGAGGGCTCCATCTCCTTTCTACTGGGCTATAGCCTTGGGTATTTTTCAGAATTCTGGCGTTTTCTTAAAATCGCCGTAACTTGAAAAATATTTGTTGGAATCAGCTCAAACTTTCTACACAGCATAAAGATATCAATATGTATCAGAAAATTTAATAAAAATTTGGGGTGATTTCGGAGCCATTTTTGGAAAAAACCATGGGCTATAGCCTTGAGTATTTTTCAGAAATTTGGCATTTTCTTAAAAATGGCCGTAACTTGAAAAATTGAAGTCGGAATCAGCTCAAACTTTCTACACAGCATAAGGACATCAATATGTATTTTAAAATCTAATAAAAATTTGGGGTGATTTCGAAGCCATTTTTTGGAAAAAACCAAAAAATAAGTAAAAATTAAGTATAAGTAAAAATTTGACAACCAAATCCCAGACCATCATTATCAGGTAGTGCCTTTACTATCAGTACTGATGAGAAGTTGGTATTATTATTATTATTAGAAATAGTTGTAACTGTTATATCTTTTTGCTGTTTAATGGATTCAGTTAGTTCACCACCTTGTATTGTCCATTGCAATATATCTCCAGTTCCTTCACAAGTAAATTAATGCTGCTGTTGTATAAATAGGAGCTACTATACTGGAGTCACTGTAATGACTAGTGAAAGGAATGAATGACTGGGTCACCAGAAGATAACATTAATTCTTACCAGCTCCATCCACTGAGAGGGAGATTATTACGAATTAATTGATTAATTAATTATTGCTCGTATCTATAGCAACGTAGCTCTATGGTACAAGTATGCATAGTTGCTGCATGTTTTGCTGTACTTGATAGATTCTTTCAATAACAATGAATGATGTTGCATCAGAAGATTATGTGCGTCAAATAAGTGAAAATGCAGTAGCATTATGTGATGGTTGGGAATTTTTAAAGTTTTCATTTTAGTAGGCTGACAAATCACGATGACCTTTGGCTTTGATGTGCCAAATTAGATTTGGTAAAAATAATTATAATAAGTTGCTTAAAAATACTAACAGTAAGTAATAGCATTGTAAATTATAGTTATTATTTTTAAGGTCGCCATGCCTAATAGTCAAGTATAGATTCTAGTGCAACCAATTTTTGCCTAATTATTAAAATAATTCAGGATAGCTACCTGCACACAGTTTTATACAGTATACATTGGTTTGAACATTAGATCATCATTATGCTGGAATGATTAACATTAGTTTGAACATGAGATCTATTGCTATGTATCTAAAGTGTATTTATAATAATAATTATTATTATTATTGCTACACACCTTCAGTATTATGCTGGATTATTTGTAATCAGCTCTTGAGTTACTAATAATAGATTAAATCAATCATTATAAATTAATATTATGTCATACATTCATTATTTTTCTTTGGCCTTCTTCTAATCCAAAACCCAACAATTATTATTGATACTGTCACTATTAGGAAGAGGATGACTGATCCCACTACTGAGGATACAGTATATAACAATTGTATCATTGGTGTACTGTCTGGAGTAGCTGCCATCATTGGAGTATGCTCTGTGGAATGATAACAGTATATCATTAACTTATTGTACCTTATTGTTATACCTGTTGATACTGTAGTAGGAAATGTATGGTAAAGTGTTGCTTCAATAGACTCACTACTGATTGCTATAAATCAACAATTATACTAGTTATCGTATAGCTGGTTTATTTTGTGGCCTCAAATTTTTGTTACTTAAATTTTCATTAGAATTAATTTTAGTGCCTTGCTAAATTTTTGTTAATATTTAATTGGTTTTAATAAAATTTAGTGGAATTAATTTTAGTGGATTTGAGCCTGCACGAAAATTAATTCCACATGAAATAAACCAGCTATACGGTATAAAAATAGCTATAATGTAGATTTAGATTTCATTACCATTGATTGTAGATAGTGTATTAGAAGGTGATGGTGTGTTAATGATTATAATCTCAACCAGTGAATGATAGTGTACAGCAGGTCCATATATTGATCCATTGTTGAGATAATAAACTGATACATTATACACTCCACTGGTTGATACTGATAGTATCCTATTGTCTGATCCAGTTATATTAAAGTGTTCATTCCTTCCATTACTAGTATCAGTAAATATCACATGACATCCATCATCAGTTGATACTAGTTGATATATACACCGTACACTAACTGATCCATTGGTATATGTATTGTTAATGTAGAGACCAATGACCTGATATGTAGCTG